ATTCTTCTTTTGCTCAATATTTTGGTGGGGAAATATTTTCTGTTCGTAATGATTATTGTGACATACTTACTATATGTTTCATGCTTGTGTCTAAAAGATTTATCATGTGGATAATTCCATAATAGTTTGATCACACTATGAAATGCGTTAACAAATACACGTGTGCTCAATGACAATTTAATCTGTGTGATAATCTAGCGTGCTTAAAAAACATCAACTGTTTATTAGATTTTAGGGCAAGCAAGCGTCTCACTATAAAGTATAAACCAACTGTAAATGGCATTTCATTGTGTTTGTTCTTGTACGTTAAACACACTGTATTATTTAAATAAGATGGAGTATTATAATCTGTGGGTTGATTAACATAGATCAAATCATTATTGGTGATAACAGTAAAAATACATAAGAAACTGTATTATTTAAATAAGATAGAACATTATAATATGTGAATTGATTAACATAGCTCAAATCAGTAGTGGTGAGAGCAGTAATAAACATACGAAACTTTGGGGCACTTGTTTTTTTTCAAAGAAAAATCAATTTCATCTGAAATCTAACTAAACTTTAATTCAACTCCACAATTTAATAATACTAATCCATAACAAGTATTGAAAAATGTTAATGGGTAATTGAGAAACATTCAGAAGTGAACCAAATCAAGTGTCTACCAAGTAATTACACTAAAAGTTCACAATGGTAAGTAAAACAATTCAATCAGTTTGATTCCAAAAGCCCAGAGGGAAATTACCAAAAAAAAAGAAAAAAAAAAAGAAAGATTTTCATCTACGGGTTTGCAAAATTGATCGATATTGTACTTCCACCGATCTGAAACCCCTCAAACATCGTCATAGCCATTGTCGCTTGCATCACGTTTTCGTACTCTACAAAAGCAATCCCAGGCAACGTTTCCTTCATTTGGACTCCGATAAGCCCAGGACAGTACTTGAAAACCGTTCCCAGCTCTATAGCAGTTGTCTGGTGAGGAAGATTCTGGATAAATAGGAACTTGTTTGGTTCCAGTGCCTCCCGAACAGCTCTAGCTCCCATATCCGGTATTTGTGGTAACTGAACCACATATTATATATAAGAAATGTTTTTTTTTTGAATACACAGGAACAGACAAGGAGAATAGATATGAATAGATCGTTCATGAGCTCCCAAAAAAGAAATAAGATGTTAGAAGCATAGAGGAATTACATTAAGATACATTCTTTCCTTCTATTAGCGTACTCACGAAAAATCATCATTACTAACAAATGAAAATATTCATCAACTTATGTTTCATCCAAACACTTCAACAACTTATTTCCTAGTTGAGGTTGAACGCTTGGGCCTGATTGGATATAAAATATCCACCAGATAATTTTAACTCAAATAATTTTAACTCAAAATTCAACTCAAACTTAACTCACCTAAACTCTCCCTCAATATTATTAGTATAATTAAATAATATCAATCAGTCATCCTCACACATCACATCAACTTTAATTCACTATTTATTCATTCGCATAATTTTAATAAGTGATCACACTTCCAATAACTTCTCTGCTACTTTTACATCACATCAACGTTAATCATTATATTTTAAACTTTATTTAAATACAAACTAAAAGTCTCACTCAAATCAAACTCAATGACCTTTTTTCAAAATTAACCCACTTTGCCCAATAAATCCAATCAAGTCCAAAATAACTTATATCCAATCAGGTCCTGACATGGTCTAGAAATATCATATAAACTTGTGAAGTTGGAAGAACCTTTAAACGAACTCAGCAAAACACCGTCTAAGTCAAAGAAGTCAATAGCAAAAGTGCTAATTGGCGCGGTTGGATCCATTCACATCATGAAATTTCAACTTTCAGTTAATCAATAATGATTAAGATCTAACAGAAATAACGACTAAAGCTGTCCTTGACCAAATACTTACAGGCGGGGCTCCTCCGTAAGCACCAGCATATGCAGGGTTAAGAGCAGTTGCTTGATTAGCATCATCTGATACATTAACATATAATAGATTAAATGATGAATAACAAGAAAAATGAAGCGGGTAAATATGTAAGATTTCTGTTTCAATCCAGAATAATAATGTACAAATGATAATGCAAACCCAAGTCTACAGGAATGCAAACCCAGAGGGACTTGCACCAAGTTGCATGACAAAGCATTAAATTGGATGAAACATTTCAAAATGCTGGACAAGTTTTAACATGACAATGTGAAACTTCAGCAGTGAGATATTCGTAGCAAATATTAGGAGCTTTAGAATTTTTAAATCTTACGATATTCACTACTCTAATGACTTGTCTGAGTGGCAACTGATAAAAGTTACTTAAAAAGAGACATTATTCTCCAAAATATATTCTGTTAAAAAGATAGAAACAGTTTAATTAGGTCATCTCAAAGTCAAGAAGCCAAACAAGAACCATGCAAGCAGTAGTGGAAGAAAAAGGTAAGGACAAATCTATTGTCAAATTTATACTAATAGTTTAATATAATAAAAAAGTTGAGAACAAGTAACGGTGAGAAGGTAAAAAGGACTCATGATTCGCCTTTTCATATGTCAAATGAAACAATGAAAAGTCTCTTACCTTTGTCATCTTGCATCTTCCTTATTTCTCTAGGAACAAAGGTACCATCAGCCTTTGCAATGACATCAGATTCTTTTATCGCATACTGAATCCGCTGTAAGAAGCATAACCGAACATCTTGTGAAAAAAATGAAGAATCTCGGCATATCTAAGTATAAAAACTTTTCTAGGGAAAGGAAAAAGTCCACCAAAACAACTTGGTAACAATGGGAAGTAGAGAAAAAAATAATAAGAAGAATAAGAAATTGGCCTTTGAGCCTATGATTTGCTTATCAAGTTAATCATGTGATAAAGTATATGTACCCTTCATCAAGAATGGGAAAGAAAATAAAACCTCATTTGCAATGAAACAAAATATAAAGCTTACTCCCTTCAATGGCCTCATATAGTCATATAAACCCAAGTTATCATTTAACACCATAATTTAATGAAATAACTACAAAATCAAACATTAATTAGAAAAGCGAGCGAGAGAGAGAGAGAGAGAGAAATTCCAGACCATAGGTTTATCGTAGAGTGAAAATCCCTGCATTTGACGAAGCGCATTGGTGGCAGACGAGACATTCTCAAAGACAACCCACGCTTGCCCCCTGTGGTTTAGGGTTTCGAACGCCAAAACCTCCAATATCTTCCCAAACTGAGAAAACACCGCGTGAAGCGATTCCTTCAGCGCTGAAAACAAAATCAAGAGACGAAAAATTAGGTCCACCAAACAACGAATCCTCTCCGATTTCCAGTAACAGGAAAGGGGAAAAAAGGGCAAAAAATCGAGAAGGTACAAATACCATCGTGCTCGATTTCCTCATTAAGGTTATTAATGTAGATGGTGTTATTAGCAGGAAGCTCGGCGACTGCAGGTGTGCCCTCCGCCATGGATGCTTTGGGATGTTTTGCGAAGCGAAAAAAATCTGAAATATCACTAAGGGCTCTCTCGGTTGGGGGATATGATTCTGAATAGAGGAGGGGTTTATGATTACACCTTTATATTACACATGATATATACGTAAAACTTAATCTTAGTCACTCAAAATTAATTAAAATATATATTAATTAAAATATATATTAATTAAATAATAAAATAATTATTAGTTGACTCTGTATTGACCGGTAACTTTCGACGTTGACCGGTGACTTCTGGCGAAAATCGTTGACTTCCGGCGTTGACCCGTTGACAACTAACCTGGCAGCAAAAAATAAATAACCTAGCAACAAAAGACAACTAACCTAGCAGCAAGAAAGAAATAACCTAGCAATAAAATACAACTAACCTAGCAGCATCAAACACACAGACCTAGCAACTATTAACCATAGACAAATGCTCTCACCTCTCTCTAGCTTTCTCTCTCTAGGATTTCCATTTCTTACTTTCACCCTCACCCACCACCTCCCGTCCCCCTCGGCCACCACCCCCGACTAGCCGTCCCCACCGGCCGCCGCCGCCACCGGCCTCCCCCGGCCTGTGGGGTTTATTTTCCATTTCCCCTTTTCTCCCCATTTTTCACTATTTCAGTTTCTTTTCGACCAACCATGCCCCCTCCGACCATTTTTCCGGCCAACAAACCAGATCCACCATTCATCCAAGCTTCGGAGTTGGAGTTATTCATGGCACAACCGGCATTTCGAGAGGCTTTCTCAACCTTTCTCGCAAAAAACGAGACCAACAAGTCGGAAAAAGTAGAAAACGAAAACAAAGAAGAAGGTGAAATCATTGAATGTGCTGAGGAAAATCAAGTAGAGATCTCCGCACCGATCGGCTGCTCCACAGTGACTCCCTCGGTGAGAAAAGGCATGGTCGTTCCACCGGTAATTACGTCACAAGGGATCTCGGCTCCCATCATTGGAGTTAGCACAGATCGGCCGGTGTTCTCCTCTGGGCTGAGACAAGAAAACCGAGGCTAAAAAATGGGCCATTCTGAATTGCCGATCACTTTCGGGTCAAATGCTCAGCCGTCGGAAGTTGCCTCACTGGAGAAGATGAATCCCGCCGCCACTATTTCATTGTTGACCGGTCAGCGATAATTCTCCACCTCTCAGCTCGTAGGGTTTGGAATCGAAACCAATCAGGAGCTAAGAGGAAACAAGTTGGGCCAAAGCTCTCCTTTACTTAGGCCCAGTTCACTTTCGCATCCAGCCCAGATATCTTGGCCCATCTCTTCCCCTCTAAATCAATCCCTGACCTATATCCCTCAGCCCAGCCCCCTATTTTCTTACCCGGGCCCGTCGATTATGGCCCACCCGATCACACAATCTCTAAGCCTACCTGAGCCCTCAATCACCCAAAATCAGCCCACCCAACTGAGCCCCTTTTTTGGGCCTTCTCCTTTTCGGACCTGAAGCCCAAACCAACAGCTGCCAGCTTCTTCAACCAACAACACAGCCCGTCACCAGTGATTTTCTAGCACCCGTCCCCTCCGCCTCTTTGCTCACTGCCACAAGCATCCAACCAAATCACGATGACCACCTGCCTTACGCCGGCGCTGGCACAGACACCGAAAAATCTCAGCCGGTCGGCAATTCTTCCGGGGATGTCCCGGAATTGATTTTTACGGCCGGAATTCTCGGACCGAGGCCAAACTCATCTTCTTCGACCGAACAAATCGCTGGACTAGCCAACTCTGATGCTGGAAAATCTGATTCGACCGTCTTGTATGTTCGGAAAGACGGTATTGTCGTTGCGGGCCTGTGCCCGAGCACGACATCCACGACACATTTTTCCAAACCTTCCCCAAACGGGACACCACCGACGAGCGCCTCCACGGTCAACCACGCCGCAGCCGGGCCCCCTCAGGGCACTTCCACTGGCCCGCTTTCCTTCCGGGAGGCTATTACGGGGAAGAGAGATCGCGGCACGGGCGGCCCGCGTCCGACGGCCAAGGATTTCACCTTTGACGGGGGATATGAGCATGCCTGCGGAACCATTATCCTCTCGGAGGGAAACAAGGTGAAGGCCCGATTCACTCAAGCCGAATCTGACACCCTCGCCGGTAAGTTAGCTAACACCCTGGTTTTTAAGTTTACTTATGCTATCCTTGCCCCCCGAGATATATCTACTGGACTAGGTAAATTGGGTTTTAAAGGTAGAGTGTCGTTTAAGTGGTATAACTTCAACCACCTCCTAGTCTCTTTTCATCTCCCCGAGAACTATAACGAGGCTTGGCTTAAGACCTCGATTAAGCTAGTTTATAGTTGTTGATTTAATTTTTGTTTCTCACACTTTAATACTCTTTTTTTAATGAATGCCATAGAATAACATTCTCTTAGCTCAACACTAATATATCAAAAAAGGATTTTGAAAGTTATTATTAGAAAATGCAGTCAGAAGTTATGTATAAATTAAGCTATTAATATGAACATAAAAAAGAGTTTGATAGTATTTTAATATATAATTCATATAACTGTTATTATTAATTAGAGCCTTCTCAATAAAATTTTTGGATGTGTGACTGCGTTGACACAGTGAGTCGAATTTTAAGATGTTTTTCTAAACTAAAAAGATACACAGTACTAATGGGTCATATCTCGGATCTGGATCGAACTGGTTGAATTAAGCTCTAATCTACCTGAATTGCCGCGTGTGTACCTGCAAGAAGTCAACACCGGAAGGGTAAGAGCCTCCGGTGCCTAAGTCAGTATCAGGAATATGATGATGCTCTGAAATGAGAGCAGTCTAATGTATGAAGAATGTAAAGTTGAGTTTTTGTGATACCTCTATTGGGATCTATGAGGATCTCGTTATGTACAAGTTACGAATTAAATAGCAAACATAAACCTATGCGCAACGGATCTAAAGGTTTGACGTGGAAGACATACGACTTAAAATTTTCTGAATCTGACTGATTTGGGATAGCCGAGAACAGCACAAGAACTGATGGACCACACGAACAGGTGGCGTCAAGCTCACGGTCGAGTTAGGTGGAATCAGGATCTCCGGTCATCTCGCGTGCGTGCGCCTATCGGGTCGTGGCTTTCGGCTATCGGTCGTGTCGCGTGGATTGGTCGTGTCCCGGCGGTCGTTCGGCTACTCACGGCAACGATCGGCGATTGTCGGGTCGGAGATCCTCGGCCTTAGGGTCATGGATCGTCGACTGTTGTGGAAGACACCGAGTCTACTGTATTACTCACACACCTCTTCAACTCGTACCGGTGGAGCAACAAGAAGAAGATAAAACTCAAATGAGAACTGAGAGAGAGATTGGGGCAGCGTGCGTGTATAATTGCACAATGGAATTATGTTCTCTTCTCTTGAGCTTAATGATGTATATATAGATCTATAGTAGGGATCCTTAAAAGATTAGGAATATGACTTCTTAATTAATGGACTAACTGTGGGCCAAATCCACTCCTTCAATTAATTAAATAATATTACGGTCCACTAACGTAATATTATTGCACTCTCTTTTCCTAGACCAAATTACATTTGAGACTCCAATTATAATTACCCGACTTACCTCCCCACGTTTAAGATATAATGTCCATTGATTAATTCGATTACTGAAAATCAAGAATCAATTAATTTATAATTTATTTCACCAAAGCTAGCGCTCGTTCATCACATTATTATTATGTCGGAACTTAATCCACCTGCAGAGTTTAGCATAACAATCCTTCATGAACTTACTTTGGGGATATCATCAAACTAACACACATGGTGATCGTCAATATCCTAACAACACATCATACATACAACAATATTACCCAAGATAGTAGGAATATTAATCCAGCGAACTGAATTTCACCAAAGTGAATCAAAGTAATATGTATTGCATGTATATGCCTGTTTAATATCGTACGGGTTAAGAGAATGCAGTAATTAACCGACGCCTAGTTCGTTTACGACGATCAGTATAAAATAAACTTCTCCTCTTTCGGATCCTGTTCAATACATAAATGTACAAGTGCAACTAATCAGTCAAGACCAACTGTACTGTTGACACTACAACCGTTCGGATGGGGTGTTCATTTACATCTAGGTTGTGAACCATAATTCTTGTTTCGCAAGTAACTAATAGAATGATCTTCTGTTCACCCGATGACGATCCATTCTATTTAAGTGCAAAACAACAGAGCAAAGAACTTGTTTAATCTAACATGATTCTCATTCATAAAGGGTAAAAGCGTAATATCATCTAAAGTCAAGCTTTTAGTATATAACACCAACAATCTCCCATTTATACTTAAAGCTTTCGCTTTTACAAGTATAGTTCTGTCAATCGTTATTCTAAAAGACCTATGTCGATCCTATCGCCATTCACCTGACTCTCATTTCTTCCACGTGTTTGACGAAGACCTTCCCCGGCAAACTCTTCGTGAAAGGATCAGCAAGGTTGTCCTCTGAGCAATCTTGGCAACATCAACGTCTCATCTACCAACGATATCTCGTATCAGATGGTACTTGCGCTCTATGTCTTTGCTTGCTCTGTGGGCTCGTGGTTTCCTTGAGTTCGCTACTGCTCCACTGTTATCACAGTACACGGTGATATAACGTGGCAAACTCGAAATCATCTCTAAGTCCAGTAAGAAGTTTCTGAGCCAAACTGCCTCTTTCACTACCTCAGAGGCTGCGATGTACTCGACTTTCATGGTGGAGTCTGCCATGCATTTCTTCTTAGCACTCTTCCATGAAATGGCTCCACTTCCTAAGGTAAACACATAACCTGAGGTTGACTTACTCTCGTCCCTATCTGACAGGAAATCGGAATCACTATAACCCAGAGGTAGCAAGCTGTCTGCACGGTAAACTAATATGTACTCCTTAGTCCTTCTCAGGTACTTGAGTATATGTTTCACCGTAGAACAATGTTCCCGTCCTGGATTACTTTGATATCTAGCTACCATGCCAACGGCGTAGCTAATATCCGACCTTGTACATAGCATAACATACATAAGACTTCCTACTGCCAAAGCATAATGAACTGTCTTCATGTCTTCTATATCTTGAGAAGTCTTAGGAGACATCTCCTTGGATAGAGGCATTC